TATCTCCAGTTTTACTGAAAAATAAGGAAACATACTCATGTTCACATTGAAGAAGTCAGAATATAGATTTTAGAGCCTGATCGAAAGCCACTTGAGGTCAGTGGAAAGACTCCCTTAATGAACATCATTTTGTTTTAAATATGGGGACCACTGAGCATCTTACTCAGTGCTAGATCATACCCTGTAGGGCCAATCCTGAATGGCGTGGATCTACACTACCCCAGGGGGAGCTTGAGGGCAGACTGTGTTTTGGGGAAACACAGACTCCTGGAGTTCAGTGGTGTGCAAAGTCCTCCACCCTTAAAGACGGTGCCTCCTGTTGTCCCAGTGTGCGTAGCTAACTTTGTAGTTTGGAGATGGGGTCAAGTCCATGACCCCACTAACTCTTTGGAGTGATGCGAGCCTGTGGTGGGTGATTGGAGAACCCTCCCTGTGTTCCCTGGATGTCAGGGACTGTAATTGGGACTAATCCTTGCACTAATCCTGAGAGAAATGGTCAGGAGATTTCAAGTGGGATAGTTTTGGTTGAAATTAACAGCTCAGAAGCAAAATGAGAAATAAGAACATGTGTTTTTTAGCCACATGTTTGACTTACCATAGGCTATATATTACTCTCCGTATACGGCAGTCCAAGCTCCCAGGTGGAGACAGTGAATGTGTAGCAGATCCTTCCTCAACAAACAGGGTGTTAGAATCCACACAGGACTCTAACCACTGAGCTGCGGTGGTGAAATATTCCACTGTTTCTTGATGAATTGAAACTCCAGTTTGATTCAACGCTCCCAGACTCTTCTGAAAACAGAGCTCTTGTTTGTCTCTGCAATTCCAGTCTCCTGCAGAAGCTGTTGTAAATGCAAATGTTTAATAACTCCCTGTCCTTTCTTCAGTTATTCAAAACAACCATTTCCTCTAACATACCCTCTTTATTAGCTCCGTGCCACTGCTTGACAAAGGTATGTGACTTCAATATCGTCAAATGCTACCCAGAGATTGCTGCTACCTCTACCTGATGCACTTCCAGCATGACTTTGAGTTCAACACACTTTCATTTCAGTGTCACCAATGTACTGTAAATAAAAATGTTCCTGTACTTGAGACCAAGTTACTTCCCCATTATCTCACATGCCAGAGCACAACAACATGACTGGATAGAGATTAAGATCAGCACAGAGGAAATTTACTTTGTTACATGCAATTTGTTCTATTAGCCTCTAGCAATTGCAGCTGGATTGGAAAGTGGAGAGGATGCTTGCAATTTACCCCTGCAAGAAGACATTAGAATGTGACATAAACTACTGTGTAAATCAATAATCAACATTAATTTAGAACTGAACAGCAGCACCTAAGACATACCTTATGTAGTTAGTCAATGAGTTACAAGCAGGATTGTGTGTATGCAATGTATCATTCCTATAATAATATTACTGAGTGAAATTCAGAGGCATTCAGCCGCCCAGCATGCCCTACTTAAGTCCTACTGAAATGTGCATAGACCTTATGCTGTCTCCCTGCACAGAGGGGAATTTCACCCAAGCTGCTTAAAGACACTATCCATTATTAACCATTGTTTTGAAGAAGACATGTTGGGCTAGCTTTTCAAAAGAACTCTGCACACAAGGCAATATTAGGTTGTGAGCTCTTTTGAAAATCCGGTCCATGGACTATGGAAAATGGAGCTGGGTAAAATAGAGGATAGAATTTTTATGACATTCTTCAACAGTTGGTTTAGCTCATTTTGACAGCCTTGAAATATTTTGTGAGAATTAAATGATCTCCCATTATGTATTTTATTGACTGCATATTGGCTTTTGTGCTAGCAGGAGGATTTAATGAAGAAATGCTATGACCTCATCTCTGTTAGAATTACAATGAAATGCTGTTTCCTTCTGAGAGAAGCCCAATACGTGCAATAGCTGTATCCTCAGCATGTATGTCAACTATCCGATCCCCACCCTTCAGCCTCAAAGGGTGTTCCCTTCCTCAGTATTTGATTAGCTACTTGCTGAAGCAAATTAGCCATAAATTTCGGGTACAGCTCCCTCTGGCTTGCTCCAGGCAGAACAGCTGTGTGGAAAAGAAGCCCAATGATGACAGTTATGCTGATGGTAAATCTGAAGCTAAGATCATGCTGATGAGTTTCCATGGTTCCACTGTCTATGAAGTCTCCCTTGCTTATAGAGGAAGGATCAGGAAAGGTCCCTTAGTTTTTAGAGTGCTTTGGGATCCTACAATATGAAAAAAACTATGGAGCAGGTTCTGACACCCATACTAGGGTTGAGTTACACTTTTCTCCATGTATGGTCCTATTGCTTTGAATGGGAAATGAGGATGTGAAAAACTGGCCCTATTTAAAAGTAAAGTCCATCTTGCACCTGTCACAGCAGATTGTGATCTTAGAAATATTGTTGTAAATCCTGAGCAGGCCTGATTCTGTTTTCACTAACACCTTTGTAAATCAGGAACACCATTATACTCACTAGAGAAGCAAAAGGAGAGTCTGGCCCAATTGCTGTAATCAGACTCTCTCTCACCCTGTACAGCTCAGTTGGATCATCTCAAGAGAATTATAATTTGGTAAAGGGCAATGTCATAAATATAAAGGGAAGGGTAACCACCTTTCTGTATACAGAACTATAAAATCCCTCCTGGCCAGAGGCAAAACCCTTTCACCTGTAAAGGGTTAAGAAGCTAGGATAACCTCGCTGGCACCTGACCAAAATGACCAATGAGGAGACAAGATACTTTCAAAGCTGGGAGGGGGCGTGAGGGGAAGAAAAAAAGGGTAGGTCTGTCTGTGTGATGCTTTTGCTAGGACCAGATCAGGAATGCTCCTCAGAACTTCTGTTAAATTAGTAAGTAATCTAGCTAGAAATGCGTTAGATTTTCTTTTGTTTAATGGCTGGTAAAATAGCTGTGCTGAATGGAATGTATATTCCTGTTTTTGTGTCTTTTTGTAACTTAAGGTTTTGCCTAGAGGGATTCTCTATGTTTTGAATCTGATTACCCTGTAAGGTATTTCCTATCCTGGTTTTACAGAGATGATTCTTTTACTTTTTCTTCAATTAAAATTCTTCTTTTAAGAACCTGATTGCTTTTTCATTGTTCTTAAGATCCAAGGGTTTGGGTCTGTGTTCACCTATGCAAATTAGTGAGGATTTTTATCCAGCCTTCCCCAGGAAAGGGGGTGTAGGGTTAGGGGAGAATTTGTGGGGGTGGGGGTGGGAAGAAAGACGTTTCCAAGCGGGCTCTTTCCCGGTTATATATCTGTTAGACGTTTGGTGGTGGCAGCATAGGGTTCAAGGACAAGGCAAAGTTTGTACCTTGAGGAAGTTTTTAACCTAAGCTGGTAAAAATAAGCTTAGGGGTGTTTCATGCAGGTCCCCACATCTGTACCCTAGAGCTCAGAGTGGGGAAGGAACCTTGACAGGCAATGAAATGAGTTTGCTAACTCCTGTGACAAATAATCAATAGATAAGGTAGATTTAGCGAACGGAAGATTTTTTTATTGCCTTGTTTGTTTAGGCTTTGGTAATACTATACCTCCCTCAGGAGCCTAAAGAATTTTTTCCCCCAGTGGGCTGTGTATGTTACTAGTTGACAGCATTGGGTCCAGGGGTATTCTGGCCCCGCATCTCTGAATGGTATGGAAGTTCCTTTCAGACGCTGGTGACTGCACCACTTTAAACTTGACTTTCAAATTTCATTCCCTTGTTTTTGTTTCTGATTTTATTAATAAACATGGGTTATAGCCAACTGTTAAACAACAGTGGAGATCTATATGAAAAGGAGATGCTAAGGGGGAATTGATGAGTCAGGGCCCTGACTGAGAGAGAGATTGGGTCTGGGATTTTCAGAGCTATCTAGGGGCTTTAGATACACAGCTCCCATTCATCTGAATTGTGATCATGTGTCTAAATCCCCTGCGTGGCTTTGAAATTCTCTTTTAGCAGCCTTGCACCATATATGCTAGGTCTCCATTTCAATATAAGCAGGGTCTGTAGAGACGGAAAGCTGTTACAAAACACAGGCTGGATTTGAAAGGCAGACCTTTAGGAGATGGTGAAAATTGCTACCCAAACATCAGCCCATGTGAAATGGAATTGGTGGTCTCATTTCCAAATGGACACATGTGCACATCCCCAAAAAGCGTGGGCTTGATTCAGCCCAGGGGTATACAGGTTTCTATTAGCATACCCCAGCAGTGTAGCTCTTTGGTGGGGAAAAGGTGCCCACAATCCTGCTCCACAGTGAGTGATTGTAAAGCAAGGAAGGGGCACGCCCGAGACATGCTAGTTCAGAGCAACCTCAACCCACAAAGTTCATATGGAGTTCTGGATGCAAATATAGGGTCAGATTATGCAACCCTCATTCATGCTGAGAAGTACTTTACACATTGAGGAGTTCCACTTAAGTCAATGTGATTATTTGCAAAATAAGTCAATGTGAGTAAAGCAGGCAGTCCTAAATTTGTGCCTGCGATGTGGATAGGCAGAGGATCTCTGGCTCCAGGGCAGTCAGTCTGGAACCTTTGCTGACACTAAACCCACACAAACGCTTTTCAAGAAAACAGGAGACACCACTCATGGTTGGGATTTGTGTTACCATTTATAGGAAATAGTTTCAATTCTTATTTTTTACAACACCAAGACAAAACAAGACGCAAAAGGAACAATTAAGGAGGTGGTTCTTAGTACAGGTTTCACTGTAATTATATTTTCAAATAAAAAATTCCACCTATATTAATTGAGCCCCCACAGTTCCTATTGAAGTAGCTCTCTAGTAGGCAACACTTTCAGGTAACCATTTGGTTTTCAAATACAGTTTTGTTTGACAGTTAGTTAGAACTACTTTTATTTGGAAATTGATTTTTGCTGGTCCTTTGGATTGTGGCTTAAGAGAGAGAATTCAGTGAGCATCAGATGAAAACAATCTTCAAAATTAGCTAGACGTGGTCAGTTTTCAAAAGCTTTCCCCTTCTGCTCCCAGAATGATTGAGACGCACAGCACTTTGATTAACTAACGTTGGTTGTTATCTTGGTCTCCTGAGGTGGGGATTTCAAAAACTCCTTAAGGACAAAATAATAGCAAATTGCGTCCAAGCAGCAGTTGAGGTTAGCCCAGCAGAGGCTGATCTGAACAAAAGAGCGTATGATTTGCTGAAGATTGCTTGTGATGACCCCTTTTTTTACCAAATAATACAAGAAGAACATCACATGGAAAGGGGTGAAACAGACGACAAATGTGGCTAGGTTTGCCATGACTATCTTCACTGATTTACTTGTGTCAGTAAGGGGATCGTCTGGCCTTCTGCTCCGTTTCAAGCATATGATGATCTGAACTGTGCAGAAGATCATTGCTATCAGGCTGCCAAAAAATGCAGTCTCCAAGATGACAAGCACAGCTGGGTTTTGCCATATTTTATTAGAGAAGCCATAGAAGCACGTCGTGGGTGTGTTATCATAGAATTGGTAAGTAAAAGAAGTTCCAGCCCAGACACCCACACAGATGATGGAACAGACCATAGCAGCTTTCTTGGTGGATCTCAGGGAAATGGCTAAGAATGGATGTCGGATGGCGATATATCTGTCCACACATATACATGCAGAGATGAGAATGCTCCCATACATGTTCGCAAAATAGAGACTTTCCAGGAATGAGCAGAATGCAAACCCCAAGTTCCATTTGTTCTGGGAACCATAGGAAATGATTTTAAAAGGAAGGGTAAACAGCAGTAAGGTATCCAGAGTAATAAGTGACACCAGGTAGATTATTGATTCTGTCAGCTTCCTGATCTTACAAAAGGCAAACCACAAAGCCATCACATTGAACAGCAATCCCAGGACAAATGTGGGAATGTACACGGTTATCTGGAACAGCTGCACATAACTTTCGATGGAGCTATTTGCCATATCTCCAGTTTTACTGAAAAATAAGGAAACATACTCATGTTCACATTGAAGAAGTCAGAATATAGATTTTAGAGCCTGATCGAAAGCCACTTGAGGTCAGTGGAAAGACTCCCTTAATGAACATCATTTTGTTTTAAATATGGGGACCACTGAGCATCTTACTCAGTGCTAGATCATACCCTGTAGGGCCAATCCTGAATGGCGTGGATCTACACTACCCCAGGGGGAGCTTGAGGGCAGACTGTGTTTTGGGGAAACACAGACTCCTGGAGTTCAGTGGTGTGCAAAGTCCTCCACCCTTAAAGACGGTGCCTCCTGTTGTCCCAGTGTGCGTAGCTAACTTTGTAGTTTGGAGATGGGGTCAAGTCCATGACCCCACTAACTCTTTGGAGTGATGCGAGCCTGTGGTGGGTGATTGGAGAACCCTCCCTGTGTTCCCTGGATGTCAGGGACTGTAATTGGGACTAATCCTTGCACTAATCCTGAGAGAAATGGTCAGGAGATTTCAAGTGGGATAGTTTTGGTTGAAATTAACAGCTCAGAAGCAAAATGAGAAATAAGAACATGTGTTTTTTAGCCACATGTTTGACTTACCATAGGCTATATATTACTCTCCGTATACGGCAGTCCAAGCTCCCAGGTGGAGACAGTGAATGTGTAGCAGATCCTTCCTCAACAAACAGGGTGTTAGAATCCACACAGGACTCTAACCACTGAGCTGCGGTGGTGAAATATTCCACTGTTTCTTGATGAATTGAAACTCCAGTTTGATTCAACGCTCCCAGACTCTTCTGAAAACAGAGCTCTTGTTTGTCTCTGCAATTCCAGTCTCCTGCAGAAGCTGTTGTAAATGCAAATGTTTAATAACTCCCTGTCCTTTCTTCAGTTATTCAAAACAACCATTTCCTCTAACATACCCTCTTTATTAGCTCCGTGCCACTGCTTGACAAAGGTATGTGACTTCAATATCGTCAAATGCTACCCAGAGATTGCTGCTACCTCTACCTGATGCACTTCCAGCATGACTTTGAGTTCAACACACTTTCATTTCAGTGTCACCAATGTACTGTAAATAAAAATGTTCCTGTACTTGAGACCAAGTTACTTCCCCATTATCTCACATGCCAGAGCACAACAACATGACTGGATAGAGATTAAGATCAGCACAGAGGAAATTTACTTTGTTACATGCAATTTGTTCTATTAGCCTCTAGCAATTGCAGCTGGATTGGAAAGTGGAGAGGATGCTTGCAATTTACCCCTGCAAGAAGACATTAGAATGTGACATAAACTACTGTGTAAATCAATAATCAACATTAATTTAGAACTGAACAGCAGCACCTAAGACATACCTTATGTAGTTAGTCAATGAGTTACAAGCAGGATTGTGTGTATGCAATGTATCATTCCTATAATAATATTACTGAGTGAAATTCAGAGGCATTCAGCCGCCCAGCATGCCCTACTTAAGTCCTACTGAAATGTGCATAGACCTTATGCTGTCTCCCTGCACAGAGGGGAATTTCACCCAAGCTGCTTAAAGACACTATCCATTATTAACCATTGTTTTGAAGAAGACATGTTGGGCTAGCTTTTCAAAAGAACTCTGCACACAAGGCAATATTAGGTTGTGAGCTCTTTTGAAAATCCGGTCCATGGACTATGGAAAATGGAGCTGGGTAAAATAGAGGATAGAATTTTTATGACATTCTTCAACAGTTGGTTTAGCTCATTTTGACAGCCTTGAAATATTTTGTGAGAATTAAATGATCTCCCATTATGTATTTTATTGACTGCATATTGGCTTTTGTGCTAGCAGGAGGATTTAATGAAGAAATGCTATGACCTCATCTCTGTTAGAATTACAATGAAATGCTGTTTCCTTCTGAGAGAAGCCCAATACGTGCAATAGCTGTATCCTCAGCATGTATGTCAACTATCCGATCCCCACCCTTCAGCCTCAAAGGGTGTTCCCTTCCTCAGTATTTGATTAGCTACTTGCTGAAGCAAATTAGCCATAAATTTCGGGTACAGCTCCCTCTGGCTTGCTCCAGGCAGAACAGCTGTGTGGAAAAGAAGCCCAATGATGACAGTTATGCTGATGGTAAATCTGAAGCTAAGATCATGCTGATGAGTTTCCATGGTTCCACTGTCTATGAAGTCTCCCTTGCTTATAGAGGAAGGATCAGGAAAGGTCCCTTAGTTTTTAGAGTGCTTTGGGATCCTACAATATGAAAAAAACTATGGAGCAGGTTCTGACACCCATACTAGGGTTGAGTTACACTTTTCTCCATGTATGGTCCTATTGCTTTGAATGGGAAATGAGGATGTGAAAAACTGGCCCTATTTAAAAGTAAAGTCCATCTTGCACCTGTCACAGCAGATTGTGATCTTAGAAATATTGTTGTAAATCCTGAGCAGGCCTGATTCTGTTTTCACTAACACCTTTGTAAATCAGGAACACCATTATACTCACTAGAGAAGCAAAAGGAGAGTCTGGCCCAATTGCTGTAATCAGACTCTCTCTCACCCTGTACAGCTCAGTTGGATCATCTCAAGAGAATTATAATTTGGTAAAGGGCAATGTCATAAATATAAAGGGAAGGGTAACCACCTTTCTGTATACAGAACTATAAAATCCCTCCTGGCCAGAGGCAAAACCCTTTCACCTGTAAAGGGTTAAGAAGCTAGGATAACCTCGCTGGCACCTGACCAAAATGACCAATGAGGAGACAAGATACTTTCAAAGCTGGGAGGGGGGCGTGAGGGGAAGAAAAAAAGGGTAGGTCTGTCTGTGTGATGCTTTTGCTAGGACCAGATCAGGAATGCTCCTCAGAACTTCTGTTAAATTAGTAAGTAATCTAGCTAGAAATGCGTTAGATTTTCTTTTGTTTAATGGCTGGTAAAATAGCTGTGCTGAATGGAATGTATATTCCTGTTTTTGTGTCTTTTTGTAACTTAAGGTTTTGCCTAGAGGGATTCTCTATGTTTTGAATCTGATTACCCTGTAAGGTATTTCCTATCCTGGTTTTACAGAGATGATTCTTTTACTTTTTCTTCAATTAAAATTCTTCTTTTAAGAACCTGATTGCTTTTTCATTGTTCTTAAGATCCAAGGGTTTGGGTCTGTGTTCACCTATGCAAATTAGTGAGGATTTTTATCCAGCCTTCCCCAGGAAAGGGGGTGTAGGGTTAGGGGAGAATTTGTGGGGGTGGGGGTGGGAAGAAAGACGTTTCCAAGCGGGCTCTTTCCCGGTTATATATCTGTTAGACGTTTGGTGGTGGCAGCATAGGGTTCAAGGACAAGGCAAAGTTTGTACCTTGAGGAAGTTTTTAACCTAAGCTGGTAAAAATAAGCTTAGGGGTGTTTCATGCAGGTCCCCACATCTGTACCCTAGAGCTCAGAGTGGGGAAGGAACCTTGACAGGCAATGAAATGAGTTTGCTAACTCCTGTGACAAATAATCAATAGATAAGGTAGATTTAGCGAACGGAAGATTTTTTTATTGCCTTGTTTGTTTAGGCTTTGGTAATACTATACCTCCCTCAGGAGCCTAAAGAATTTTTTCCCCCAGTGGGCTGTGTATGTTACTAGTTGACAGCATTGGGTCCAGGGGTATTCTGGCCCCGCATCTCTGAATGGTATGGAAGTTCCTTTCAGACGCTGGTGACTGCACCACTTTAAACTTGACTTTCAAATTTCATTCCCTTGTTTTTGTTTCTGATTTTATTAATAAACATGGGTTATAGCCAACTGTTAAACAACAGTGGAGATCTATATGAAAAGGAGATGCTAAGGGGGAATTGATGAGTCAGGGCCCTGACTGAGAGAGAGATTGGGTCTGGGATTTTCAGAGCTATCTAGGGGCTTTAGATACACAGCTCCCATTCATCTGAATTGTGATCATGTGTCTAAATCCCCTGCGTGGCTTTGAAATTCTCTTTTAGCAGCCTTGCACCATATATGCTAGGTCTCCATTTCAATATAAGCAGGGTCTGTAGAGACGGAAAGCTGTTACAAAACACAGGCTGGATTTGAAAGGCAGACCTTTAGGAGATGGTGAAAATTGCTACCCAAACATCAGCCCATGTGAAATGGAATTGGTGGTCTCATTTCCAAATGGACACATGTGCACATCCCCAAAAAGCGTGGGCTTGATTCAGCCCAGGGGTATACAGGTTTCTATTAGCATACCCCAGCAGTGTAGCTCTTTGGTGGGGAAAAGGTGCCCACAATCCTGCTCCACAGTGAGTGATTGTAAAGCAAGGAAGGGGCACGCCCGAGACATGCTAGTTCAGAGCAACCTCAACCCACAAAGTTCATATGGAGTTCTGGATGCAAATATAGGGTCAGATTATGCAACCCTCATTCATGCTGAGAAGTACTTTACACATTGAGGAGTTCCACTTAAGTCAATGTGATTATTTGCAAAATAAGTCAATGTGAGTAAAGCAGGCAGTCCTAAATTTGTGCCTGCGATGTGGATAGGCAGAGGATCTCTGGCTCCAGGGCAGTCAGTCTGGAACCTTTGCTGACACTAAACCCACACAAACGCTTTTCAAGAAAACAGGAGACACCACTCATGGTTGGGATTTGTGTTACCATTTATAGGAAATAGTTTCAATTCTTATTTTTTACAACACCAAGACAAAACAAGACGCAAAAGGAACAATTAAGGAGGTGGTTCTTAGTACAGGTTTCACTGTAATTATATTTTCAAATAAAAAATTCCACCTATATTAATTGAGCCCCCACAGTTCCTATTGAAGTAGCTCTCTAGTAGGCAACACTTTCAGGTAACCATTTGGTTTTCAAATACAGTTTTGTTTGACAGTTAGTTAGAACTACTTTTATTTGGAAATTGATTTTTGCTGGTCCTTTGGATTGTGGCTTAAGAGAGAGAATTCAGTGAGCATCAGATGAAAACAATCTTCAAAATTAGCTAGACGTGGTCAGTTTTCAAAAGCTTTCCCCTTCTGCTCCCAGAATGATTGAGACGCACAGCACTTTGATTAACTAACGTTGGTTGTTATCTTGGTCTCCTGAGGTGGGGATTTCAAAAACTCCTTAAGGACAAAATAATAGCAAATTGCGTCCAAGCAGCAGTTGAGGTTAGCCCAGCAGAGGCTGATCTGAACAAAAGAGCGTATGATTTGCTGAAGATTGCTTGTGATGACCCCTTTTTTTACCAAATAATACAAGAAGAACATCACGTGGAAAGGGGTGAAACAGATGACAAATGTGGCTAGGTTTGCCATGACTATCTTCACTGATTTACTTGTGTCAGTAAGGGGATTGTCTGGCCTTCTGCTCCGTTTCAAGCATATGATGATCTGAACTGTGCAGAAGATCATTGCTATCAGGCTGCCAAAAAATGCAGTCTCCAAGGTGACAAGCACAGCTGGGTTTTGCCATATTTTATTAGAGAAGCCATAGAAGCACGTAGTGGGTGTGCTATCATGGAATTGGTAAGTAAAAGAAGTTCCAGCCCAGACACCCACACAGATGATGGAACAGACCATAGCAGCTTTCTTGGTGGATCTCAGGGAAATGGCTAAGAATGGATGTCGGATGGCGATATATCTGTCCACACATATACATGCAGAGATGAGAATGCTCCCATACATGTTCACAAAGTAGAGGCTTTCCAGGAATGAGCAGAATGCAAACCCCAAGTTCCATTTGTTCTGGGAGCCATAGGAAATGATTTTAAAAGGAAGGGTAAACAGCAGTAAGGTATCCAGAGTAATAAGTGACACCAGGTAGATTGTTGATTCTGTCAGCTTCCTGATCTTACAAAAGACAAACCACAAAGCCATCACATTGAACAGCAATCCCAGGACAAAGGTGGGAATGTACACGGTTATCTGGAACAGCTGCACATAACTTTCGATGGAGCTATTTGCCATATCTCCAGTTTTACTGAAAAATAAGGAAACATACTCATGTTCACATTGAAGAAGTCAGAATATAAATTTTAGAGCCTGATCGAAAGCCACTTGAGGTCAGTGGAAAGACTCCCTTAATGAACATCATTTTGTTTTAAATATGGGGACCACTAGATCCCACTGGTCCCACTTAAACATGCATAGACCTTATACTGTCTCCCTGCACAGAGGGGAATTTCACCCAAGCCATTTAAAGACACTATCCATTATTAACCATTGTTTTGCAGAAGACCTGTTGGGCTAGCTTTTCAAAAGAACGCTGTATATAAGGGAATATTAGGTTGTGAGCTCTTTTGAAAAACCGGTCCATAGACTCTATGGAAAATGGAGCTGGGTAAAATAGATGATAGAATTTTTATGACATTCTTCAACGGTTGGTTTGTCTCATTTTTACATCCTTGAAATATTTTGTGACAATTTGATGATCTCCCATTATGTATTTTATTGACTGCATATTGGCTTTTGTGCTAGCAGGTTGATTTAATTGAAATGTAAGATCATCGTGGGATAGCTTGTGGAACCCTCACTCACACTGAGAAGTCCTTTACTCTGCTATTGAATACTTGAGAAGTAAATTAGTAGTTTGTGTGAATAAGGGTATCACAAGCCAGTCCTATGCAATATTCAATACTGCTTCCAAGTGAAAAATGTCCATAGTCATTAATACTTAGTTTCTTCAAGGCAGGCACTTGAATCTATTTAGTACTTGCAAGAAACTTTACACTGGGATTCTCAGAGATGAAAAGCATTAGCTAATGAACATTGATGGAGCCATTTACCCAGCTGACTCTACAACTAATGAATATTTTTCATTAGATATAGTGTCTGGGAAATCCTGGATTCTATGTCCATGTCATCCTAAACAAGATTCTTGTTACTACCCTAGATCTACCCAGAGAAAATCCTGCTATTTTAGGAAGGGATTTTACACCAAAATCTGTTATATGTTTCCACAGAAAGAAAATATGTTAAAATAAATGGCAAAAGAACAACTCCATTCATTTCTGAAAAGATACCCCTTTACACTATGATCAAAGCAAAAATAGCTACGGTCTATTTAATTTACAGATGTAGTAGCAGAAACATTATTAGACATAAAAACAGTTGTTACAATAAGCTTAGGGTATAATATACTGCATTCTATCACCTTACCTCTTAGTTACCTCTCAAAGAGGTCATTAGCTTGTCTCCTTTGAACTTGTAGATTTCTCTCTGGTTTAAGCAGGGGGTGTTAACTGCATACAGAATAACTTCCAGTCTGTAAACCAGAGGAACTTGTGTTCTGCTTTTCCACTTCTAACTATGTATTTCCGTTTTAATACTGCTTTTAGTAATAGCCTTTTACCTACACACATGAACACACACACACACTCACGTATAAACTGAAAAAGTTAACTCCTTTATGCTTGCTGGGTTAGCTTCTCTGTGGGTCTCTAACAGTAAATGAGATTCCATTATTATTGGGGGAAATCCTGGCCCCACTGAAATCGATAGCAAAATGCCCATTTTCTTTAATATGGCCTGGATTTCAACATTATGTTTGAAATCTGTCTGTATAGAGTGGCATGTCATAATGTGCTTGAAGTTAATGATCAGAGATTCCCAAAGCAGACTACGAAGATGATGATAAAAATGACATTTTAAACGAGTAGGATATTCACAGAAATCTTGAACTATTACATGCATTTATTTCTAAGTGGAAAATTTGGCATTTCTGAATGACTATTATTAAAGCCATTTATAAAGCACACTCATGAGTTACAGGAAGTTTGTTCGTAAATGAAGAGTCATTTGTTGGTTTTGGTTCCACAGACGAATAGCTTATTTTCTATCCGCTCACCTTTTAAGTGTGTGTGTCTATCTCTGTGTAGGGTAATGGAAATGTCAAAAGTGGAACTGAAGAGATTAAACCTCTGTGGCCACATAAAATGAATGCATTCACATAGCACGATGCTGAGCTTGGTATAAAAATATGGGCAGATAGAACTTAAAGGTGACCTTCATGGGAAAAGAAAAGGGGAGGAATGGGCCCTTCTTTTTTGCTAGTTTAAAAGATTCTCTCCTAGGGGAAAAAAAAAGGGCGGTTTTGCATATTTCCCCCCCTTACAGTTTTGCATTTTTTAATTTCTATTTCCCTTTTTTGGTTGGAGGACTTCTTGGATGACACGGAAATGTGCACAGGGAGCTTTCCCATCCCTTGATGGTAGGGGCAAGGATGCTGATACCAAAGAGAACTCTTCTCTAAAATGTCCTAGGTAAATAGGTGTTGACAAAACATCCCAAACAAACAGGAAAACAGTATTAGAAGCTCTGAATGCGCAATGTTTCAGCTCTCAGTCAGTTTTTATGTTGGTTGTATCTGCTAATCTCACTCCTTCTCCAATAGTCACAGATTCTTCATGGGTAGATATTAAGATCTGAAATTTGAATTTAAAAACAAAACAGGAAAAATCTTATTTTTAATAATAAAAACAAAAGCCAAAAGCCCCAGCCCCCTCCTTCCCATATTTTCCTCCTTCGCTGGTAGCTTTTAAATTCTCTTGGACTGCCTAAAATTCACATATGTCTAGAGCTCTGGATGGTTTTGATAAAGCCAAAAGACACATGAAACACAGCTGGCTTCACTCCCAATGAAGACGTGTGTCAAAAGGTTCATGAACCTGAGCCTAGCTTTGAGCAAAACTAGGTTTGGATGGTTTTGCATCAGAATATGGCAAAATATGCAGCTTCAACATAAAATGCAGGTGAAACTTGGTGTCTTCACCAGTAGCAGTGCTAGGATTTGGGACATGGGACTCAGATGTCTGGCTTGCTTCATGGTTTAATGTGCAGATCTTATTGGTGTGAACATCATCATGAGAGCAGGGAAATTATGCTTTCAACAACCAAGATTGTAATTAAAAAAATGCAACTATTGCCAAAGACCTTTTTTTTGAGAGAACTTAATTTTAAAAAAGTTTTTTAAAAATTCCCCCTTTCAGTAATGATCTGGCCCATAAAGGGGCATTATTCTAGCCTCTCAGCAAACTCCAAAGCCGCCCCCGTACCTTGAGTGCCTACTAACCCCACCTCAAAGGCTCAGGTAAGCAAACACTTTTCCATAGCTGCTAACATTACAAACATTTCTGAAGGGGCTGCTCTTCTGATAATCCAGGCCCTGAGCAGCCAGAGAATACACGCATATTCCAGTGAATTTTACTTTGTCTTTATGTGAATAGCATTTATCAAGGCCTCGGCATTATGCCGTTTCTGTATACCAACACAGCAGAACATAACTCTGTTACTCGCAACCCTCAACCCCACATGCAGCTGTGTTTCCCCTTATTTCGTTGTCTTGTGGTAAACCCCAACCAGCTGCGGATTCCCTTGGGTGTGTTCAGGGACTGGTGGTTGGCTTGCTTCCCCCTCTGGTCTTTTGAAGGGGCATGTCCTCTCTGGCATCTTTGAGCAGGGGTCTTACCCCTTCTCCTTCCCCTCCACTCTCACCCACATACTTAGGGTTTCTCTAATCTCTCTTTGCCTTTGATTTTGCCAGTGAATTAGGATCTAGAACTAATGAGCAGAAGTTTGGGACAGTTCCAGGCAAATTGTTACTGCTAGAAAGTGTACGGTCCATGGCTAAGGGTACTCAAGAGGCAGAATGAAGATGTGAGACCATTAGTCTGTTGACTATGCTGCCTTTCTTGTATTGAGCTGCTCCACCAGGTGGCAAGAGGTCACACTGGGTGCTTAACATATTGTAGGAATGGGATTTACTGCAGACAGCTGGCTGAGAAGGAGTTTGCAACAGCTGTAGACTATGGCTGCACTACAGCTTAAGTCGACATAAATTATGTCACCCAGGGGTGTGAATTAGCCACTTTCTAATCACACAAAACGGAACACCCTAGCCCTGCCCCTTCCCTGAGGCACTGCTCCTACCCCGCCCCTTCCCTGAGGTCCTTCCCCCTCTCACTACATTTCCCCTCCCTTGGTGGCTCGCTCTCCCCCACCCGCACTCACTTTCACTGGGCTGGGTCAGGGTGAGGGCTCGAGGGTGGGGCCATAATTGAGGGGTTAAGGGTGTGAGAGGGGGTGAGGGCTCCGGCTGGGGGTGCAGGCTCTGGTGAGGGACTGGGGATGAGGGGTTTGGGGTACAGGAGGGGCTCCAGGCTGGGGGATGGGGATGAGGGATTTAGAGTGCGGGAGGAGGCTCTGGGTTGGGGTGTGGGAGGGGATGCGTGCTCTGAGGTGGGGCTGGGGATGAGGGGTTTGGGGTGCAGGAGGGGCTGCAGGCTGGGGGATGGGGATGAGGGATTTAGAGTGCGGGAGGAGGCTCTGGGTTGAGGCAGGGGGTTGGGGTGTGGGAGGGGATGCGTGCTCTGAGGTGGGGCTGGGGATGAGGGGTTTGGGGTGCAGGAGGGGCTCCAGGCTGGGGGGTGGAGCTGAGGGATTCAGAGTGGGAGGGGCCTGCAGGTTGAAGCAGTGGGTGAGGGCTCTGGGCTGGGGGTGCGGGGTTTGAGGTGCAGGAGGGGGGTCTGAGTCTGGGGGGGCTCAGGGCTGGGGGGTTGGGACTGGGGGTTGGGGCACGGGCTTACCTCAGGCAGCTTCTGTTCGGTGGTGCAGCGGAGCTAAAGCAGCCTCCCTGCCTGTACTGGCACCGTGCCATGCCCTGGAAGCAGCCATCAGGTCTGGCTCCTGGGGGAGGGGGCGGGGGGGTGGTCAGCAGGCTCTGTGCGCTGCTCTCGCCTGCAGGCACCACCCCCCTAGCTCCTATTGGCCTCAGTGCAAGTGGGGTTTCAGGTGGGTGGATTTGTGGTGTTCAGGATGTTGGACCACAGGACCTTTATTGAGACTGGTGGGATTGAATAAAGGCTGCGTATGTTGATTTAGGCTTCTTGCTTTTCACACACACACACATGTTTTTTGTCTGTGTTTTGTTTCCCCTCAGTAAAATATCTTTGGGAGAGAATGGTTTATTT